AACACTATCAAACTTATAGTTAAATTTTTAATTTGGCTGATGCTCGATGATTGACTGGGTTTAAAACTCAATGAATGAAGTTTATTTCGATGTTTGAAATTTTCGATCGATGTTCGAATAATTATCCACTCTCTACTTGGCATTAGTGTTACATTAATATTAAATTACAGGGGTTAACAGTGAATAGATTAGCTAACAGTGGGTTAGTGGCTCAAAGACGCAAGTCTGTTAGATTTAGTCTGTTTGAAAAGGGTTATTATACTCATTCGCCAATCGATTACGATCATACTTTTATCCTTGCTGAATTGGCTCAACAAAAAAAATAAACAGTTGCTTATCCTAATCAGGCTTTCTCAACATCTGATTTTAGCGTCAGCCATGACAAAGAATATTCGAAAGATCGATCCGATGGATGTAGTATATAGAAAAATAGGGCTAATAGTTTAAGTGTGTTGTAAAAAAAAAAAAAATACTTATTATTAATAAAGAACGATGCAAAAATGGTTACCGTAAACGGCCATATAAAAGACCCCCCATGATAGTAGACCCACCATGTATCATCCCCGGGTCTACAATATAGGTTGAGATTTTTGTAAAGATAAAAGATCCGGGTATACTATAGGATCTAAAATGATAAAAGACCCGGGTATACTATAGGATCTAAAATGATGAAAGGCCCTAGTATGATAATTACTTGTGTCAATAGTTTGCCCGGTACTAGACCCCCCATCCGTATAATAGACCCACGGGTCTACTATCGGGTTTAAAATTGGGAAAATGTAACAGACTCGGGTCTTTTATATGGCCGTTTGCGGTACGTATCACTTCATAGAAAATCACTTTATAGACATCTCATTTCATAGACAATCAATTCATAGACAAATTTGTTTTAAAGACAATTAATTTACATACAGTTCATTTCGTAGTCGCAAATAACTCCCGAATCAATATTAAAGATTGTCTATAAAATGAACTGTCAATAAAATGAATTGTCTATGAAATGAACTGTCTGTAAATTAATTAGTAATAGTTATATCCTGGGCAGTTGGGTATAAGTAGGGTTGTTAATGGAGTGCTCCAGTTAATAATAAAACATATAACCCACTCCGGAGCACTCCAGAAGCGGGTTATA